CATATTATACATAGAGATATTATACTTTGGGTAGGTAGGAACACGAAGGGATTGTAACTCGTACTGTTAATTATATGGAAGGGTAAAAACCATAGTGTCATAAGTCAAACTTTTTAAAATATTGACTCGTGTGCATAGATGCAATCTATACAATATATAAATTGCATTTATGCATACAAGACAATATTTTAAAAAATTTGACTTACACCACTATGGCTTTTACCTCTTCATATGTAACATTATTTATAAGAAAATTATTGTAATAAAGAATTATAAGGAAACGTATAATAAATTTGAAATTGTATGATATTAATGCCGGATATATTATACGAAATCAACAGAAGACGCTTAAGATAATAACGGTGTTTATTATTTATCTATAGAATTTCACATTTAAAAAATTATCGTTAATTATTATAAATTTCACATAAATGTGAAGGTTTGAATCAACGCTCAAATAATAGCTTCTTGCTTGCAAAATTTGACATTTATCTGAAAATTAAAATTATAAAATTACGATTATATTTTTCAAAATTATGAGATACAAAATTCGTAATAATTTTGAAGAATGTAATTTTAATTTTGTAATTTTAATTATCGTAATTCGTTATTAATTGTAATACGCAAGATGGAAGCGCGGCCGCCGCGGCCAGAATATCCCCTCCAGCTGGCTAGTTCGGACACGAACCATTAGCACGGACGCAAACCATGTACGGTTACCGAGCGATACGACGTAGTTGAGTTGCACTTTCTCAGGCGGCGCGTCGGAAAATGCAACACAGCAACAGACGAAAAAGGCCGGGATGGCCTCTCTCAGGTTTCTCTCTGGTATAGGTGTATGTAAATCTGCGGATATCCAACGTTCAGATTTTTAAGAATAATTAACGGATTCCTACTGTAGTTTCTTTTAATATTATAGCTATACATTGAATTTATTGTATATTTCCAGATTCTCAGGATCGAATTATTTCATTAAAATTTTATAATTATTTATCAAGTGTAATAACGTCTGTTTTCTTTTAGAACCTAATGCAGAAACATCGATTTGAGCGTTTCCGAGTAGGAAAATCTAGAAAGAATAAAGAAATTAACTCTCATCGTCGATGCATGACTTTTTAGAACACCATTTAAATGACGTTATTAATACGTAACATTTGAAAAGAGACAATCTCGAGCGTCAAGGATTGTCAAAAATGTCGAGGTCTTCATAAGCTATTATACGAGCTATTATAAGTAAGCAAAATGGATTGCTTAAAGTTACTGGAAACTCTTGATATATTCGGCTGCACCGGTATTTGCATAAGTACCGAAAGCTCGCAGCTGCTGCAGAATTCGCTGCTCATTTTGCAGACGGAAAATCACTTTCGAAAATGTTACTATTGGGGCAGGATCAATGGGATACAAAACGACTATCACGTCGCGTACGGTTACGAAAAGGATTGCATGAACGGTCAGGTATATTATTACAGGTAAGGAATTTCTTGAATTTTTCGCGAATTGAAGCCCTTTTGAAAAAAGATACTGTTGAGATATAAAGACAAGTTTATGATACATAAAACTTGTCCGTACAATTGTTTTAACTACATTAATAAGAAAAAATATTTGTTAATTAACTTGGTTAAAAATTGTTAATATCACAAAACCAATCTCAGATTTTAGAAGAAAAAAATTAATTACTTTTATAAAAGGAATTTCTATACGTTTGTTTTAATGCTAGTTTTAGGCAAATAAAAATAAATCGAAATAACGTTTATTTCTGACATTTCTTTTTACAGCACAGATGGTATGAATTGGCTACTGCTGCCAAAAGCGACGAAATGCGGACGATTTCTGAGCCCCTTGGCGATTAATAAGTTCGAAGGTGATCCATCCATCGTCACGAACGTTTACGACGTCAATCCACCGTTTCCGCCAAATGAGGATCCTAAGACTTATTACGAGGTAATTGCGAACAATGACTTTTTCTTTAAATTTGCTCTGAGAAAAATCGACTCAAGAAATTTAAGAAATTTGTTGCGACGATTCGGCTTCTTTGAATATTAATGTATCTTAAGAGTATTTTATGTCATTTTTTACATCTTCAGAGGTCTAGTTTCTTAGAATTCTAGTTTAATCTAATCTTAATGAAAAGATATATAAAAATGACGTTTTAGGATCCTATGCCGAAGGAATTGAAGGAAGAGGATCGTCTCGCGGCCACCGTGGAATCGATTACCGAGGATGCTGCGATCATTCCGCGAGGGGCCTGGTTCAAGTGCCCGAACGGCGATGTGATCGAGAATTCGAGTTTCGGCGGCCTGCGCGAGGTGGACGCCGCGAATCTGAAATCCTATTTGCACGCCCGTCCCCCGAAGCAGAAGTGGAACGTGAATTTGTCGTCCCGGTCCGATTACAATTACGCGCTGGACTTTTTGGACAGCACAGACATGGACGTTCCTCAGGGTATAAACAGCGACGAAGCGCAAACTTTAATGTCGAAGACAGGAATAAAAAAAATGCGTGAAATAACGCTAAACGCGATATTCGACATTGTTCTAAGCGATAAAGTTTGGAGTTGAACGGCATTGATTTAACTTTTCTTTTATGTTCCCAGTCAATAATCTATTATATATAATTTAACATCTATATTTCTGTTTTCAGAATGTTGGAATCTGCAGTTTCTCTTGGGCGGTCGTCTGGCCGTTGTGCATAGCTTGTATTGGCACGGAATGACTTTCTTCCACAAGTTGAACTCTCCTCATCATGGATTTTTATACGTTGGACACGGAAAGAAGAATCTAGATCTTCCGTTCATGATCTGATGCGAGATACACAAACGATTGTGCGAGATTACATAAATTGTTACGGGGAAACGGCATTAATATAATAAATGATGATGCTATATAATTCAAATTCCAAACGTAAATGTATAATATAGAAACGACGTCATTTCGGTCATTTAGTTTATTTTAATGCAATATGTCCGTAAAGCGAAGCAACGCGATGAGTTGCAAGAGCGAAACCATCCGGTTGAACGATCGGTTAATCGATACGCGCGTCGATGTAATTCGTAACGCTATTGTCCTTAATGTCCGTTCCCGTCACAAGAATCCGTTGTTCGCTCGCATTCCTGCGTGTATTTATTTGTGTCCGCTTTCGGCGACGTCCTCGACTTCGCGACAATGTTAAATTTCGTGCTTCCTGCTGAACGCGTGTGTGTCCTCGCGTCGATTTGTCGGTCGGAATTCCGCGAAGAGGAAATTCGGCGTGGCTTATAGTTGGAACGGCTTGAATCGCGAGGAAACGATCGAGTTCTGAGAGTTGCATATTTATAATTCTCGTTTTAATGTGAAACTGATGACAATTTACATTACTTTATTTTAATAGTTAATAAAGTATTATACAATAAAAATATCGTATTTTGCATTTATGTGAAGACATGCATAAAGGAGATTAATATAAATGGATTTGTATAAACAATTATTAATATCAAAATTGTATGTGGTATTACTCGTACATTTTCCGCAGATTGATCAAGCGTATGATTTAATTGGAATACATGCATGCGTTACATATGTTTAGCAAATTTTAAATACGTAGCACGTGGTAGTATTTAATAAACATATAATGACGACAGTATTTAAATACGGTTAAACAGTTTTTGGCAATACATTTAAATGTATATATAATAATGTAGTGAGGCAGTGATCGCGATCATTTTTTCTTTGCCGCGCTTTTCACTGCTTGTAGTTCTTTTGTCGTAAGCGAGAATAAGTAGGTATCGGGAGTATTTCAGGAAAAATATCGGACAATTATCGAGTTGCACATAAATACAATCAGCGGTAAATGACCTTAGACACAATTTACCGAAATTCCAATTTCGTGTCCACCGCATCTAACGAAACACACGCCCTTAATCGAGGATCCTCGTGAGCGTTATTCGGATAAACCCGCGTTTCGAGGTTTCGCGCGTTTTCGTGAGTCCGTCGCCGTCATTCGCCGCGACGCCGCCGGATGGCGTCACCAGGTCGACGCGAGCGCGGCGGCCGGCGCACCTAACCTGCCGGCTGCCGGGGGGAGACGCACATTGCACAAGCGCAGTCGAGCGGCCAAGACGAACGCAGTGACCCGGCGTCTCGGCGAGTGAAGTGTCCGTTGATTTGCGGAGTGATCCCCGACAGTTTGCGGCCCGTGCCTTCCTTTGCGGATCCGACGAGGACGCCACGCCGCGTACGGTGAGTGCTAGCGTGTAATCGTGTCTCGGGCGAGCGAGCGTTTCGCGCTCGCGGACCCGCCTGTCGCCGCCCCGGGATTTCCGTTACTCCGGCCGCAAAAACCCCGTAAAGTCCCGCGTACGCGCGTCCGACCGGCCGGAGAGAGAAGCCGGCTTCGCGAGACGCGATCTCGTCTGTCGCCGGCGATCACGTGGAAGTCTCGGGAGAATTTTGATCGAATACGGGCGTCTCGAGTCCGTCTGGAGTATCGGTCCATCCGGGATGCTCCGCTATCCGGGGAAAAGTACATCTTTTTTTTTTCCCCGGTTAGAAATTTTTCTTCTCCTCTTTCCCCCTTCCTCCGCGGCCGGCGACAGGCGATGGATTTTGCTGTTCGTGCGCGAACGACACGTCGTCCTGGAGTCGAAGTAAGAACTCTGTGTATTTCTCGAAACTTTACGCAGAACAGGAGTCATTCTGACGAAATATTGAAATTTTTACCGGGGGCACGAACCTATTTCCGTTGATTGTTGAAATGCATCCGTTTCACGGTATTGCTACGACGGTAAATTAATCGGAGCAAATCGGGATAAATTGTTGGGATATATCTTGGGTTTTTTTTTTCGTCGATTGCACCGTCAAAATTTATAACAAGAAAATGCCGGTTTTGTCCGCGCACGTTTTTGCAGACACCGCGGCCGTTAAGATATTTATTATCGTCTCTTGTTTGTGGACATTCCGCCTTTTTGTGTTTACGCATTTATGCGAGCTTGTCGTCGCGCTCGATTCAAGGTTAGCAGGGTCAAAGAGAATTACGGACCTGTCGTTGCCTGGGCAAGAAGCACGTTTCTTGCTCGTCTCCCCCTTCGGGAAACGCGTAGAGGGCAGTTAATTCTCTCCCGGGTCCATGTGCCATTTTGTTAGTTCGACATCTGTTTGACGCGATAAAAATTTTACATTGCTCGAATGTTCATGTAGCATGTGCCGAATGTTGGTATACTTCGTGTACCGATATGTGCTAAGAATACTTTTCCATAATCTTGAACTAAACGGTAAGATAATAAACAAAATTTCGGTATTACGGCCGGTTTTCATAGTCCGATCTTACACCTGTTTAAGATCGTCTTAACGGGCTAGAGAACCTTGACAAGCAGAAATTTATCTTTTTTTTTAAATTAAATATTTAAGAAACAAAAAACTAAGTATTTGAAACTTTGGGACACGATTCTATCTTTTATGGTTATTTTAAAAGAAATATTAATATTAACTTATTAATTTATTGTCTTAACTTATTAACTTATTGTCTACTTTAAGTACTACGAGGGTCGGTATGAAAGTTATGTCTCCTAATTTTTTTTTTTTTCAAATCTGGTGCCATAGAAAATGTGAGTTGTTACTTGAAGTCTC